CCCTCTGCAGTGCTTACAGCAAACATACATAGCGAGTTTGCTTCTCATCTAGGAATCACATCTCATTCATCATCAAAATCCTGGTTTGGAATTCAAATCACTGATGAATCAATTCAGGAACTTTTAGTGTGAGAGGCCTTGTGGCACTTTAAAATGCTCTATAATGAGAATTTGGTCTTGGTAGATAAAAGGAATTATGTACCCCCACATGGAGTTTCTAAACTGAGGTTTAGAAATACACCTGTTTGTTTCAACAGTCCTCTTATGTTGTCTGAAAACGAACCCCTTTCCAGTGTCATCTGTTTTGGGGAGAGTGAAAGGATTTTTCTAAGGGAAAAGTATTTTATATGATTCTTCGAGGCTTTTCCTCCTTTACCTTTGTTTTGGCTACAACATGCAGCATGCAGGATCTTAGTTCCCCAACCAGGGATCAAACCTGAGTCCCCTGCAGTACAGGCATGGCAGCTTAACCACTGGACCAGCAGGGAAGTCCACCCTTCACATTTAAACTGTGCTGCGCAACACAGTAACCACCAGCCACATGAAGCTAATTAAAGACTCCAATTTCTCAGCTTCACTGGGCACACTTCAAGTACTTTTAATAGCCACATGTATCTAGTACCTATAAATTGGACCACAGCTATAGAACATGTTCAATAATGCTAAAAGTTTTACTAGGCAGTGCTGATGTAGAAATGTTAACTGAATCCAATTTTTTTTCTAGCTTTTTCTACCAGTGATAATGGAAATCAAGATATGTTAAATTGTTATGTTGGGACTTCCCTAGTGTCCCACTAGTTAAGACACCACGCTCTCAACGCAGGTGGCCCGGGTTCAATCCCTGGTCAGGGAACTACATTTCACATGCCACAACTAAGACCCAACACAGTCAAATAAATATTTTTTACAAATGCAACATTAACTTAGCACAGAGCAGGACCAGAGATTTTAGTGAGGCTAACAAAATCTGTACATATTTATTTGCTCTGCATGATGCCTTGCAGATCACTCACAATGAAATCTGTGTCTCTGCCCTTAAAAAAACAAAAAACCGACTAGGACAATTCTGCCTCCTTGGGGAATACTGGGGCTAATGTGGGCTTTGCATATATCAGCTCTAGTTGGGAGTGTGTGCATGGAGCAGGGAACCTCTCTATATTGTTGTATACTACCCCCCAAAATCAGGGAGAAATTTTGCTTCACTTATGTCAGACAGATATATTTTAAGTACAAAATATGTGGGGAAAATGCAGTTTTTAAAGGTTCACAGAATTTACATCACCATGTAATATAGGATACAATAAAGTTTAAGTAGAGTCCATCATTAAATTTGTTTTATGAGGACCTAAATGATAACTAAATATCATGTCCATAAATCTTTTTAAAATTTTTCTAGAGGACACATTTTATTGCACAAGATTATCACTGCCACCTATGAATACCCTAGTTGCTTTTCTGCTCAAAATACTGACATATCCCCACATCATCATAACTATTTTATTCATTTTAGCCAAAGTCTAATTCTAGTTTAAATTGTGAATGTAAATAGAACATATACTGTGAAGTCAAACTGAGTCAATATGACAGGTCCTTGTTCTGACTCAACCTTTTCCTGACACAGCCCCCTCTCTGTGGGGCTGACTTCTATCACTACCAACCTGGGTTTGCTGGTGTATAAACGGGAAAAAGTAGCTCTGGTTATTTACAGAGAAGGAGCCTGACCACTAGGTGTAGCATACTTTTTAGTGTCTCAAAATGCTGGCTAATTTATCTCCACTCAGTGCTGAGGCCGTAGGACTTATCTCACTAAATCCTTTACATGTAAATTTCAGGTATCTGTTCTTCCACTGAAGTCTGTAGTTTGAGCACAACTGAGAAAGAACCAGAAGACATTTGTGGTAAATTAAGTCATACAAATACAAACAGATACTTAAGTGTTAGAAACGTTTATTTGTCAAAATATATATTAAAAAAAAAAAGTGGGAGAAGTGGAGTAAAACAAGGCTAAATTTCAGCTACTGCTGTACCACGATCACAAGTCAGACATAAAACAAAACAAAACAAACAAAACCACCAAAACCCCAATGGTCTTAGCAATTTCAGAAGATGAGCTTCAGTGGTAAAGAGTCCAGAGCTAACAGAGAAGAGTAAAGCTTGCTTGCCTCTGCGTGGTCATTTTAAAGGGGGAGGAGGTGTTGCAGGTAGGCAGGGAGAAGGGTTCAACGCCTAAGGAAAGCAAGATAAGAGGGATTCCACTGTACAGGAGAAAGGGGATGCCAGCAAAATCCTTACCTAGGGCTGCTCAGAGGCTGGGAACACAAGGAACAGAAAGGCTACAGAGACTAGTGCCAGGAGGAAAGAAAAGTCAACTTAGAAGAATTAAATTAAGAAAGAAAACATAGTTGGTCACAAACTCCTTTGTTTACTGAAACATGAAGCAATGGAAACATCCCGGCAAAGGGGACCGCGCGGAGCAAGTTCTCATATATGACCGCAGCCCGAGGGTTCAGTCCGCAATTATCCTACCTGAAAGAGAGCACAACACAAGAGGCTTACACAATGCCTGGAGAGCAGCGTGGCTCCGAGTACAAGGGCCCTGGTCCCGTCCTGTATTCCAGGGGGAAAAAGAACAGAACAAAACAAAACCAAGTCAGATTGGATCAAAGTTACATCTCATGTAATTACCTTTCTACTATGGCTATATATAGGAAATCTACTTATATATATAGAACAAGAAGCAATCTGTCTGGAAGACTGCTGTATTGGTGATAAATATATCTTTCTCATTTTCTTACCCATCCTTTAGGTAAGACGACTACTGTGATACAAGGCTACTGTCACTGAAACAAAGGGCATACAGATATCAAGAACCATAATTTAATTTTTGGTTTCCAAAAAATCAGAAGATGCTAGGTCTCAAATATGGCCAATTACATTATTCTAAATATGTCTCATTTTAATCTTTCATATAAACATGTTTTCAGAAATGACAATCATAAAGGGTATCAAGGAGTGGTTCATTCATCCTCCAACATACCTGCATTATCATACTGTCACAGATTTAGAGTCACAATTACAGTAGTTCCTTTAATTGACCAAATCTCCCTTACCAAAACAAGAGAAGAAATCCTAAATTCTCTAATTCTTCCATTGGTGATGGGAACTCCAGACACCAATGGCTGGGGGAAAAAAAAAGTTAACTCACACCAAGTTCCTCTACTTATTACAGACAAAGGGCCAAATCTTGGTCTTGATCTGTGCCAATCGACTTCAAAAGTTGTGACGTTCTTGAATCAGTTCTGCTAGGGTGAGACCCGAATTTGGATCCCCAACAGTTCTGGAGTATTTCATCCTGGCAGCCTCATTAACATCAGGCTCCTGGGACTGCAACCAACTCAGGGTTATTCAGTCCATATGAGGTTCATACCTGGAAGGTAAGTTTCTTTAACAGTCATCACTAAAAAGAGGTTAGTTGAACAACCACTGCTAGCAGTCAAAAACCACATAAACACACCTTAGTAATGCCCTTTAAAGACCACAATATATACTATTTAATGTTTAACTTTGGAACATAGTTGAGAGAAAGGTACAGTTATCTGGAAGACACCACCTTACTTTAGAGGCATATCCTAACTTCATGGCAGACCAGCAGCATTAAAAGTAAAAGATTAATGGCAGACTACACTAGTTGTTAAGATCTACTTCATGCAAATGAACACCCACTGCTACAGAGTAGTCACAGCAGATCCCTGTCTTACCATAGTCACACAGGATGTAACATCACAGGTTCATACATTTGCTTCTCACCATGTAAAAGGGAAAATTCCTGTCACTTGGTTTTCTTCTACTCATACATCAAAGAGGTATGTTAAGAACCCTGGAAACTCGGTGGTAACTCAGTTTAACTTTCCTGCTAGGCCTCCAGTTCTGCTGATGCTCAATTTCAAGGTACTGGGTATCAATTTCTAGTACTCTAGCTAGCCTTAACATTCCAACATCTTTGTTTACATTACCTGAAAAAGGAAAAATTAAACTGCCAGGGTTACCATCAATGGGATTTCATACACTTCAGAAAATTACCTGTTTAATCTAGCTCCTTAAATGTTCTCAAACAAAAAAAAACCCCAAAATTTGCTGGAAGCAATGGGAAGTGTCAGGCTCTAGACAGTAGCATCATAAGCCATGCAGAAATGCAGCTAAGTGCCCACGGAGAACAAGATGCTCTGGATTACTAATAAAGAAGGAACTCCACGGAATCCAGAGCAGACAGTGGCATTAAAACATTGCTTTCCAGCAAGTGTCTTGGAACTAAATGCCTAAAATTCAGAGGATTTTATTTGGCTTATATATTAGAAGAGTTTTCTCTGATAAAGGCTCATGAGCTAAGTAATATTTTTATTAGCAAATTGGAAATCTGAAGTTAGTTTAAATCCTCACTGGTGACATTAATTTCTGAACCTGCACTCTTCACTGTACATCACAGTGACTTCTGTGGTGGGAAGAGAAAGTAGTTTTGGACTCAGATAGGCCTGAGTCCTACCTGAATTCTGGAACTCTCAATCACCAGATGACATTAGACAAAGTACTTAACCTCTCTAAGCCTTAGGTTCCTTTCTCCGTAAAAGAGAAAATATCTTAAAACCTCGCTGTATCATTAAATATATGTACAAAGAGAGTACTCAACAAGTGTTAGTTCTCTTCAACTATGTTTCTTGTAACCCAGATCTGCTTACACTTGATTAAAGAACAATATCCTAATAAACTGAGTTGTTGTTTTCCCAGGATGGACAAGTTGGTTGGAGTTGTAAACGAAGACCTCAACAGGTCAAATGAAGCTCTGGCCTAGAGAAATATTTAAGACTAAAATGCAGTGACTACCTTTTGGATAGTGTCCTGACAGCAAACAGGTGGCTTTAGCCTCCTCTATGTGGCAAGGTCTCCTTTCTGGGGAACTCAATGGAATCTCTTAACCACACCCACCCCACTCTCACCTCCAGTTTTTAAAAGGCTGAGTACCGTGCTCGGTCCACATACTGCTCCCGTTCATACCGGGCCATGTCATACAGAGAATTCCGTGCAGCTGCTGAAGCCTGAGACAGCTCACTCTCTGGCCCATAACCGTAGCCCTCTCCAACTGTGGGGAGCACAGCTGCACCACGACGCAGGGGGCTCCTGTCCCTTCCGTAATAGGAGGAAGTGGTGGCAGCGGCAGCAGCCATAGCAGCTGAGGTGGCAGCAGCGCCTGAGTTTGGCAACAGGTGTCTGTCGTAGGGGTCAACGGAAGTGGAGTTGAGGTGACTGGTCACAGCCGTGTTCTGGACTTGAGGCAGATGAGACATGGTCTGCTCTGCATAGTTGTACGCGGAAGCTGCTGCTGCTGCTGCCACTGCCTCGTAAGAGCGGACTCGGTAACGCTTATAGTAGTCAAGTGCTCCATATGCGTCGTTGTAATACATGGATTCCCCGTAGCCCATGGTATAAGGTGTGCGCACCGCTCCATACTGTTCATTATACTGCTCAGTAAAGTCCGCCACGCGGCCTGAACGATCTACTGGACACTCTTTGGACCAGTGGCCCTCTTTCCCACACCGATAGCAGCCACTCTGGTCTCCCATCCCAGGGGCAGTCCGAAGCCGGCTGGTAGACAACTGCACGTGCATTCGTTTGCCTTTAGGAAATAGATGTAAGAAGATTTATTATAATTCATTAACCTTCTATGTCTTCCCCAAAATCAACTAGTTGGCAAAAGACACACAAACATACAAACACACACTCCTACAACCCTATTTCAACAATCCCCTCCAAAAAAGCAGCTGAAGTTTTAACAGATGAGACTTAGAAAATCTGAATCCTCAGAAACCAGTCAATACTTTCTACTTACACAGTAGACCGGGATTCCCTCCTACTTCCGTCTCCACGACTTTCTTCTCCCCAACACAGAAATCGAGTTTCCACTTTTCCAAAGTTTCCACTTTTCAATACTATTAGCAAAACCTGACAATTTTTCCAAATCAAATATCCACTAACACCTCAGTTATGCTCTGCATAGTAAAGCATCTTACCAACCTCTCACTGATTTACTCAGGGCCTTAGCATGTACTGTAGCTTAAAAAGCCACAGCATGTGCTGTCCATCTTGTTTCTTCCAGCCGTTTTTGCAAGTGTCACCAGAAGGCTATGTTGGGCACACAAATCATACCTGGCGCATCATCTGCTTCAACTCCAGGACCCCTTAAGAGTTAGTTATAAGAGCTTCCAGACTTCAACCCCACCCCCACAATTTTTTTTTTAAGCAAAGGTGAATCCACGCCTGCTGTGGAAAAGAAAACTACCTGACCTAAGTCTCTCAACAGCAAGAAATGGTTCTTGAAGCAGTACTGGTTTCTTAGGGACAATGTGTTTTCATATAATGGAATGATTGGCATTTCATCCTGTTATGCAGTAAACTACATAAACCTGTAAACAATTCCTGACAGGGAATTGTCTACTTGTTAGAAAAATGCAGCATTGGCCTAAAGGCTTCAGGGCACCCGTACAAACAAGCCACATCCATACTTGCAGGAAATGACCAGCACGAGGAACAGCGAAGACAAGAAACAATCTCTGCCCGGGGCTTGTGTACAACCAAGCCCAGGGAGCCTTGCTAGTGAAAGCATCCAAGGTCTTTAAAAGCAGTTTGAGAAAAGGCATATTCTTGGCAGCATCTGGTGCCAAACTGCCTAAGACTTTGGAGACAAGTCAATGCTTTACAGATTATAGCCAAAAGCAGCCAGTACAGTTGCAGAGAACTGGGGCTTTGCATCACTCTAAAGGGCTGCTCAGGACAAATCCCCCCTCCGCGATCAGCAAGTTGCTCTCTCTGTAACAGACCTTGTTCTGGATGCAGCTATGCGGTAGGAGGCCTCGTGCTCCACCATCCTGTTGGAAACAGCCCGATTCAGGACGGCAGCCAGAACAGCGCCATGCACTGACCCTGAGAGGGGAGCGGGTTAGTGCAGTAATATCACTTTAGTCAAACTCAGTTCTGCCCAACGTCCAACATTTCTACCACCCCAGTTTCTAGTAGCTGCTGCCTCAAACTTAGAACCCTTTCTTTAGCAGAAACAAAGGAGCTCAAGGTTTTTACTTCCAGCTGCGAGTAGAGAGGCAGCATCCACCATCAACACTGATAGTGTCAACAGATACCAGTCAGCAATTTAACATGAAAGCAGCACTGAGCCATCCCGTTATTTTCAGAGATACAGATACTCCCATTCTTAGAGTTTATTACAGGACAAATGCTAACTGTGCTTAGGACAGAAACACATGGATTTTTGCCCCAATTTATATCCCAAATGTAGAATTCCCTATAATTTGGACTGGAGGGATTACAAGCTCCTTGGCTTTCAAACATGCATGGTGACATTAAACATGTGTGATAGACACAAAGTGTTTCAACTCTGAAGTCAGTGTAACCATGCCAATCTAAAAAGCAGCCAGTCCAGAGGCCTACAAGTACATTTTCAAGGAAAATATGTAATTTAATCCTTTACAGATTATGGGTCCATTTTTTTTGAGAAACAAAACCCAGTGACTTTTTTCCCCTTGATGTTTCTATTACTACATACAATCTCCACCACTGCTTTTAGAGTGGAACTCAGAAGTTTATAAACATCTGTAGTAACTGTAAAAAAGCAGTCAGGTAAACAACTTTTTAAATCTAGAACTAAAAGATCTAGATATCACAGAAGTGATACGTTTTTTTCACATAATCTTTCTAAAGGTTGTAACCAGGCGTTTAAATCTCCTAAAATTCTTATGGTAATTGAACTATACTGTGCTTCTCTATTACTTTAAGGAACCAATGCAAAGAAAACTGGAAGAAGATTAAATCCTACTACTCTACTACACTTGGAGAAGCCAAAAGCTTAAAAAATTTCTGAAATCTTCAAAAAATTACTGAGGTATGTTGCCAACATTTCCCAGAAAACCAGCCTCCACCTCCCACAAGTGTTTTCTTTTGAAAGAAAGAGGTGGGCAACCTGAGGTCCTCACTGCTGAGCTCCTGCCAAGTAACAGGACCCAGAGATTAGGGATATAGCTTGACACCCAACTGTACTCCAATTTAATGTCTGTTTACATATTGGTGAAAAACAAAACACATAAACTCATATAACATTCCCAGTTCAGCTGCCTGAGTTATTACTTGGGAATAGCTTCTTCAGGGTCTTTCAATGCAAACTGCTTGCTAAGTCAGTAGCGGTTCAGTTCACTGCTGTTTATGGGGAGGAAACAGATCCTCAGAGACTCAGGTAAACTCAGATTCTGCTGCTTTCTTTTGTTAGTCATACAGTCAGGAAGCCTCAGTAGCAGCCATTAACACATAAAGGTTCAAAAGATGAGCAAAGTGGCATTCTTAAGAGGTCCCCTTTATTAGGAGATGAATAAAAAGGCTTTATGAAAAAAATGTGACAAATTGATATCTAGATTGTATTTTCTGTAAGACTGCAACTTACTATCCAATGCTAAACTTTCTCTTGTCATCTGGAAAAAAAACAGAGCTGGTTATAAAAATGTCTATATGTAAAACATAACGAAAAGTTGAGGGCTTTCTCCAGAGGGCCCAGGCTAAGAACATGAAAACCAAATAAAAGATCCTTTTCCCCCCAATAATGACGTTTAAAAAAATTTCATGGATCATTGTGTTATTACATCCTGAGCGAAACCCACTGTATTAAAACATATTTCTTTCAAGCCAACCCCCCTCTCAATTAACTGACGTCCATATATGTATTTTCTGATCCTATCCTTTTACTCAATTGCATATTAAAAAGGTAAAGACAAGCAGTATTATACTAGAACATTGCTGCAGTTTGTACCAGACTTTAACTGCATTCTTTCACATTTTGCTTGTTACCTATCAAGAGAGAACTCCCATTTCCTCCAACACTGTCCATTCATGATGCCCTCCTTCATCCAATGAGAATAATTCAGGGTATTTTTTAAAGGTTATCTGAAGCGCAACAGCTTTCCAAAATAATAAAAGAAAACCAAATATAAATGAGGAAAGGTATTACATTTTAAAGAAGTTTCTAACCATCATAGAAACATTTGTTGTTGCAAACACCACTCACCTTTTATCATACAGTGCTTTTACTGTCAAAGCACTTTCACATCTATTACCTCATTCTAGCCTCACTACCATCCTGTGAGGGAGGTACAGCAGGGATCATTATAACTCTATTTTGTAAGTGGGGAAAATGAAGCACAAAGAGGTTAAAACACTTGTCCAAAATCATATGACAAGTAAATGGTAGCCAAGTATCTACAATTTTTGCCCTGTGCTTAAAGAGCAACTAAAAGTCAGGACACCACTGGCTGAAGCCAGAAATATCTGATGCACTATTTGCAATCTCTACTATCTGCAAACTTTCTTACCCTTTTCTGGTCAACTTTTCCTCTTCTCCATTTCTTTTCTGTTTCCTAGGTTTAGTAGAGGACCCTTTAGTACGTCTTTACAACCCTTTTAATGGCACTCAGAGAAAAAAATTATCTTAATTTATAAACCTGAAAAGTGGATGTAAACATGTGGTCTAAGATGACACTATCAACAAAAAGCTTGTAGAACAGTGCTGTACAAGAGAACTTCCTGTGATGATGTAAATGTTCTGTATCTGCACTGATACAGTCACCACTAGCCTGGATGACTTCTGAGTGCTTGAAATGTGTGCAGCACAACTGAGAAACTGAACTTTAAAATTTATTTAATTTCAATTTCATAGCCACATGGGGCTAGTGGCTACCATATCAGCACAGTTCCAGAGAATCTGCAACCTCTTGTAGTACTAATGACAACGTACGTACTTTTATTAATGATATAATTCAGTATGTCACTCTAATCGGAATCTCCTCAGAAGCAGAACCGTAATTCCCATTCGACCTAACATTTTTAGAAATGTCATTTTTTCTCTTTAGGATTAAATAATAGTATGTGGAGCAGAATACACAGCACGGTTTTTGGCTCTGCTTACATAGTTCATCACATACTGAACAAATTTGAGTACTCAAAAGATAACCCCCCAAAATCAGATTCACCACCCAGATTTATAATACAGAGATTCTTAAAGATATCTTTTTTTCCCCCACCATGGCCCATTGCCCAGGGCAGTAAGGAATTTAAGCCCTGTGCATTTAAACTCTCAAATATATAAGGCTTCCTCATCATAACAAAAGAAGCAAGCCACAGACCTTTATCCTCTTCTCCCAGTTGCAGATTAAACTTCCAACAGCACCCAAATGAATGACACTTGCAGGAAAAAATGACCTACCGTTTGTGATTCTACATTGAGAAACATCTTGGCAAATCTGAAAAGGAGAAGTGTTTGCTTCTCCAAGAGTTAAGTTGTGTTTAAGCATGGTAAACATACAATCGTTCTACTATTTCCAGCTAAAGTAGAATGGAAGACACCACCCAGCCAGCCCCATGGTCCTGTGTTCTTGCCTCTGTCTAGACCTAGACCCCACTCGGTTTTGCCACCCAGGCCCCAGAGCAGTTCACCTTGAAACTCTGTGTTGTCAAGGCCCCTGATGGCCTCCACTGCATCTTCAGCCCGCTCCATGTGTACAAAGGCATAATCTTTCACGATGTCACATTCGATGACGGGACCGTACTCCTCAAACTTGGCCCGGAGCTCTTGGTTGGTACAAGTAGGACTGATGTTGCCTACATGCAACTTGGTTGAAGCTTTGCTCTTATTCTTGCTGGCTTCCACGTTGATGTTCACCCCGTGCAGCTTGTAGTGGTGCAGGTTGCGGATGGCATCCTCGGCCGCCGTCTTGTCCTCTATGTGCACAAAGCCGTAGTTCTTAATGATGTCACATTCCAGCACCTTCCCATACTGCTCGAAGAGTGAGCGGATCTCCTGCTCTGTGGCCTCCCGAGGCAGGTTTCCGATGAACAGCTTCACCATCCTGACAAGAGCCTGAAAGAGAAGAAAGGAGATTTTCAGAAGTTAGAGGCGAAAGTTTCAATGCACCGCATTTTGGATTAATCCTCCCAAGTTCTTGGCACCTTCAAGATGCTCACATAGACGTTCCCTCTTTTTTCAGTAGCAGGAGAAAGGTTAGCTCTTAAGGAGTGGTGTGAGCTGTGTGTAACACGCGAACGGGTCGGTTGTCAGCATGCATTGCATAGTCCCTCGTGAAATAAGGCGCATTTTAAGTAACAGGGTTAGCTTGAAATACTCCTGTTTGGAGCAGGTAAGAGAAGAATCCAAATGCGGGGGAAGAGGCATACATCTAACTGTCCCTGGTAACAAGGTTTTGGAGGGAAATCTGTGTACCTCTCTTCCGGGAGGCATCACCGTTCAAAATACTTTTAAGAATAAAAAGGCCCCCTTTGTCCCAACTGGGAACCCCCACCCCAGCGCCGGCGACCCAACTCCCGTGCTTTCTCCCCAACAAAGACTCGACTCGACCCCTGCCCCGCCCCCTCCGGAGACCCGGCCCCGCCTCCTCCCGTTGTCTTCCCCGGGCCTCCCGCACCAAGAGAGAAAAGCCAAACCCTGGGCCCTCCCCGTCCGCCAAAGGCCGGGCCGGCCCGGCTCTGAGGCTCCCCACACACCCACAAGAACCTTGCGCACCTCCGGGTGGCAGCAGCGCTGGCGGCGGCTCCCGCGTCAGAGAGAACCCTACAAAATGGCGACGGCCGCTCAAACCTCGGCGCGACCGGGCCTTTCTCGCGCGCCACCTGACGCACGCGCGAGTGCGCACTGCCCACCCCCTCCTCACCCTCGCGGGAGCCAGGCGACCAATCCCGCGGCCGCGTACAAATGGCTGCCCCGGGCTCGGCTCCCAGTCGCCCCGATAGGGGGCGGGGCCCACTGTCGTCGGCGCGGCGGAGCGGAGGTCAGCCCGCCCCCTGGCCCGGCTAGCCAATCAACACCTTGGACGGTGGTGTGGGTGGGGGTCGGCGCTCACGCGTCAGAAGGCTCTGGGCGCAACCACTGCCTTGGTGAAATCAGAAGCCCGGAGTCACAATGGATCACAATGGATCCATTCACAATGGATCGTGCTATTGGACCGTGTCGGGGGGCGGAGGTGGGAAAGCACGGCCGCTGCAGATGACAAAGGGTTATCTCATTGAGTCCCCTAAAAGAGGGTTTTCTTAGCGATCGGCCAGCCTCTATGGTAGCTTGGGACAACATTTTAGGAATACAGGGGCATCACATTTCAAGGAAACCTGACCTTTTTTTTTTTGGTATAGCTTTAAAACATAATTCAAAAATTTTTAATTGCAAACGTACTTCACTGGTGAGGAAACAGAACCGAAGATGGCAGAGCTGAGATAGCTCGTAGAGGCATTCTATCCAGGCTACACTCAAATCAGTTGGGTTTTGTTTGTCACACATAAGCAAAACACGAAGGTTTTCTCTCCCTGGCTAGAGAATTAAGCTCTAATTACGTATCCTTAACAGTTCCTGATTCGTGGTGAGCACACCAACGAATGCTTGGTATAGAGGACCAGAGAGGTTTCTTGTTTTGGGGACAGGCCAGGGTCTCCACCTCCAGACCAAGCTGCTGGAGGACAAGGCAACTGACCAGGGCATTTTCCAGCTTTCAGAATTCAACTGTGGTCCAAGGGCACCTCCTGCTGGCAAAAAATGAAGTTACTAAGGGGGATTACTCAGTCACCTTTGGACAAAGAATAGACGTTTCTGAAGATTGATGGACTTCGCTTATCTCCAAGTAGAGCATGCCAGGATGTTTGTCCGTCATCATTCCTCCTTGGTATCTTTTCTGATACTATCAGGCACAAACTCTGCACGGTGTCCTCTCTCTCAAGCTACTCGGTTACATTTCTTTTACTGAATTCTTTGTTTTCCACCAATGTCAGCAGAGGCACTGTCCTTCCAATTCTGATAATACTCATGCTTACCTCCCACCTATTTCTACTTAACCCTCCCCTTCCCTTTTTCTCTTGGTCATTTCCAGTTTCTCTCTATAGTCAGACTTTTGAGACACCAGCGAGGGACCCCTTTGCCCATTTCTGAAATAGTTTTTACTCATCCTTGCTATTAATGTTTTCTAACTTGGGTTTCTTCCCAGTGTTTCAGGATGGATTTTTGCAAACTGTGAACCTGCTGTTGCCCACCTTCATGCCTGTGTTTTGGGTTCTGTCTTCCTCTCCAATTCCCCAAGTTTTCTGAGGTTACCAAAACTAATATCCTTTTAACAGCTTGCACCCCTCTAAAATTTTTTGTTTGTTCACCATCCTTTTCTCCTGTTTTTATACTGTTTCTCCTCATAGCTCTGACCATATCATTCCATCTTCTCCCCCATCTATTTCCCTATTCTTATCTATTACCTTTTACCTCCCCTTCCCTTTCCCTCATTTTCTGAAAGTGAAAGTCGCTCAGTTGTGTCCGACTCTTTGCAGTCCCATGGATTATACAGTCCATGGAATTATCCAGGCCAGAATACTGAAGTGGGTAGCCGTTCCCTTCTTCAGGGGATCTTCCCAACCCAGGGATCGAATCCAGGTCTTCCACATTGCAGGCAGATTCTTTACAGCTGAGCCACAAGGGAAACTCTCATAGGCAACCGTTAAATGAATTTAGAATGTATTATTTTGTGTTCTTGCAAGATATATTTTCTTAAAAAATGAAGTATATTTACCATGTCATGTTAGTTTCTGGTGTACGAAGTGATTCAGTTGTATATATATATATGTATATATATATTCATATTCTTTTCCATCATAGGTTACAAGCTATTTATTTCTCAATTTTGGCATGAAGGATCTTTTTAGTTGGGGCATGGAAACGTTTAGTTCCAGCATGTTGAATCTAGTTCCCTGACCAGGAATGGAACCCAGGCCCTCTCATTGGAAGCTCAGAATCTTAATCACTGGACCATCCAGGAAAGTCCCTGCTGCTGCTGCTGCTAAGTCACTTCAGTCGTGTCCAACTCTGTGTGACCCCATAGACAGCAGCCCACCAGGCTCCCCCGTCCCTGGGATTCTCCAGACAAGAACACTGGAGTGGGTTGCCATTTCCTTCTCCAATGCATGAAAGTGAAAAGTGAAAGTGAAGTTGCTCAGTCGTGTCTGACTCCAAGCGACCTCATGGACTGCAGCCTACCAGGCTCCCCTGTCCATGGATTTTCCAGGCAAGAGTACTGGAGTGGGGTGCCATTGCCTTCTCCAGGAAAGTCCCTACAAGATATTGAATATAGTCACCTGTGCTATACCTTAGAACCTTGTTGTCTGTCTATTTTATAGATAGTGGTTTGCATCTGCTATTCCCAAACTCCTAATTTTCCATCCCCTACCTTCCTCTTTGGTAACCATAAGTTTGCTTTCTGTAAGACATGTCTTTTTAAAGCACATTTGCTTTTTCCATTACAAAAAATGTTTCATTGTGGACATTTTCAAAAAGGCACAAATAGAGAATATTATGAAATCTTCTGGGCCCCTTACTCAGCTTTGACAATTATCAACATTTGCTCATCTTATTTCATGTAGCCCCTTTGCTTCGTGTGTGTGTGTGTTGGGGGCAGGTGGGCTGGAGTTTTTTTTAAGGCAAATTCCAGTCATAATGTCATTTCATCTATAAGGTTTTCACTAACTGCCTCTAAAAAATCAGCTCTATGCTATGCTAATATCATCTGATATATATATTTAAATTTCCACTGGATTGTCCCAAGTATCTGTTTTTACATCTGGTTTCTCCTAATGTGGATCTAAACAAAGTCCACCCATTCTTCATTTGGGGAAATTTTATTTGGGGAAATTAATTTATGCAAATGCTTATGTAAATTGTGTTGTTTAGCTCATTGTTTCTTACTTTTTTCACTAAGCACTATGTTGTTCTTGTTGTTTACTCAGTAAGTCATGTGTCTGACTCTTTTGCAACCGCATGGACTGTAACCCGCCAAGCTCCTCTGGACGTGGGATTTTCCAGGCAAGAATACTGGAGCAGGTTACCACTTTCTTCTCCAAGGGGATCATCCCAACCGAGGGATCAAACCCACATCTCCTTCATTGGCAGGCAGATCCTTTACTGCTGAGCCGCCAGGGAAGCCCTGTGCTATTGTGTGGTCTCTAACTACTGAGCAATACTCCACGCTGTGCAGCCAGCACATTTTATCTGTCTCCCAGCATAGGACACTCAGGTTGCTCTAACTCCTTATTGTTATAAATAAGCTTGCAGTTGACATCCTGTGTTAATTATGTGTACCCTAATCAATTGGTGTGAAAATTTGAGGGGAGTTAGGACTGGGATGGAATTTCTGGGTTGCTGAGTCATAGGGTATACATTAAACTGTTACCAACCAGGGTTCTCGGCTTTCTCCAGTCAATATTAATTGATTAGAGGCCAGACAAAAAATTCAGGCAAGACTTTACTAGGGTCCCTGTTGCAGCAGGGAGGATGTGAAAACAAACAGGTCCCCTTGCTGGCTTGCTCCCCAAGGGGGCGCAAGCTTGTTCTTTATATGGGGTGAGGGTAGTGGTGTGTCCAGGGGTTGGGTTGGAGGGATGGCTTAGGTGTTTTGCCCCCTCCTTAGGTGGTGGTGAGCGTAGGGAGCATGGGCAGTATCCTGCTTTTGCTTTTTGCTTCAGGCACCTCAAAAGTGGCAGTTGGATTTTTTGGTCTCTTTGTATCTTTTTGATCCAGAATTTGCCCAAATTGCACATGCACGCAGTTATTTTTAGTGTCATCTGAGGAGAGTTGTGTCCAGGCACAAGCACTGTAGCACTGCAGCCAAAGGTCCCAGATCCCAGGACTGTCTCAGAACTAACTTGACCAAGTCGTGTCAGGCTGCCCTCTGGAAACCAGTCTACCTCCCACCACAGGGATCCTGCATCTCAGTGTCTCTGCCAGTGTTTGACATTATCCAGTTTTCTAATTTTTGCCAGGTATAAAATGGTATATCATTGTTGCTTTAATTTGCATTTCTCTCATTACTA